ATGGAGAGCTCATTCCTTGTGGAAGAACACAACCTTCCACACACCCATTCGTAAGCCTCAGGACTGACCTGAGGGATCATGAGACCTTCAAGTCATCAATTCAGTGATTATCCATCTCTGGCTGCCATTTTGTAGAGGAGGCTCAACAGGTCTCAAGGAGAAAGAAAACTTTCACTTATTTCCAAGCTGGGACATAAATGATCTCAGAAAATACACAATTCTAAAACAGACAAGAAAGGTAGCTTGCGACAAAGGCGGTTTGAACATCCAATTAGGAATTATAAAGCCAACTCTGCTATCCACCCACTTTGGGCTTTGGGGGGCACATTCAGCCTATCTTCCAAAATAGAGACAAATATCTGTCAAAAATTCCCTTAACAAGGTACTGGGAAATAAGCATTGTGTGTCTCATTGAAGAAAGACAACTTCTTTATATAATCATAGGTCATTCTGTGATTCAAAAGAGGTTCTCTGGAAACTCGCTAAGTTCCCATAAATCAAATTATTTTCTAAAAGCACTCAGAAAATTCATCACTTAAAGAAAGTCTGTGGCAAATGACCAAATATACTCATCGCTTCATTTATATATCTTTCAGAAGCATTTACAGAGCACTTAGAAATATTTTCAATTTGATCTTCTCCACAACCAGCTGAGGTAGATGGTTTTATTAATCTATTTTTGAATGAGAAAAAAATAGGCTCAAGAGAGGCAAATGGACTTGCCAAAGTCACAGAACTAACCAGCAGAGTTAAAACTCAAAGTGTTCTGTCCTTAAACCCCATGCCCTTTCCATTTACCCTGGCTACTGTGTACTGTGGATAGACTATTCACTAAACTTTTCTTGCCATAACTCCTTTAAGTAATCTAGTCAATTTTAAGTCTAATGTTTCATGCCACTCTTATTCAGCGAGGTAGTGTTCAAGAACATGGAACTCTGGAGTCAGGATTGACATTTAAATAGTACTGTCACAGGCTGAGGGCCTGGCGATACCCGTAACCTAGCAACTTAGGAGGCTGAGGTAGGAGGATTGCAATTTCTAACAACAGCCTCAGCTTAGCGAGGCACTAAGCAACTCAGTGAGACCCTGCCTCACAATAAAATAAAAAGGAGTGGGGATGTAGCTCAATGGTCAAGCACCCCTGGGTTTAATCTCCAGAACCAAAACTGTCACCATTTACTAATTTTAGAAATAAAGCAATTAACAATATTTTCAGTGGACCAGTTTTCCATCTATAAAAGAGGACTAATACCACCTTTTCTCACTGGGCTTACAGAGGACCGTATTAGATAACTGTATAAAGCACCTATACCATGTTAGCATATGGTGACTATCATCAATGCTGAAAATCAAATCCATGTAAAATTTGAGAAAATATTCTTCCTTTTCAGAAAGACATAAAATTTAACTCTCAGCATCTAGATTGCATGATGCCCTCTAGCATTAAAAGTTTAGCACTCAAGTCTAGGATTTAATAGGGGCCATCTAATGAGCCCAAATCAAACTGTTATAAAGAGAAACTACAAAATAGAAACACTAATTGAAGTATCCTTTTTAAAAGTTATTTAAGGCAAATCTTTGCTATAAAACAGCAGTGTGGTTTCTGTACAATTCAGCTTTACTTTTTGCCATTTTATCATCTCAAGTAGAAATGCACTGATAACAGGAAGAAATTCACAGACTTACTACATGATGGAGGGGAATAGTATTTGTTGTATGTGGATGGTGCTTTATACATATCTTCTTGTGATTGAGCCCCTCATCACTAAAACAACAGATAAACTTTCCAGCACAAGAAAAGACTGCTGTGGCCAACAGCAAGTCTCATTTTTCACTCCACGTCTCATTTTTTTATAATGCCCTATCAGGGGACAGTGGCATGTAGATGTTATAGTATAGGGTGTACAGATTGCTATGGGAACACAGGCAGAGACAGAGAGTCTGAGAGAACCAGAAAAGTCTTTGGAGAGGAGGTGACATTTATTGAACCGTTTAGCTAATAGGGATGTCCTTCTGGTATATTCCTGATTATCCTTGAGCTTAAAATTTTTCTGTGAATTCTGAATATATCATTCAGGGATTTAGTTCTTCATCACTGCTTTTGTTCATTTGCAAACTTAAATGGATCCTTTCTTCCCTTTTGTAAATACATCTAAGGCATTCCCACTAAAGAGGCAGAGAGCTGAGGCCTCTGTTGTCTGAATAAACACCACTTAAGTCACTTAAGTGCCTCCTAATTCTATAGGTTTGGGATTCTTTTTTTTGTAGTGCTAGGGTTCAAACCCAGGGCCCTATTCATGCTAGGCAAGCACCCTATCACTGAGCTATATCCCCAGACTAGTTCTGTGATTTTTAAAAGTTACTGCTTATTCTTACATTACACTAGCTACTTAACAATACTGTATCTTAAATATGTATGTTAATTACAGACTGTTAATTCTAAGAAATATATTTTTCCTTACTGTCATTTATTTCAGAAATAGTTGCAAAGAACTTTTAAGAATGTCCAAGGGAACATGTCTCACTAAAGGAAGTTAGCCTGTAGTTGAGGAAGCTTGATGATCTTTTCTTTCCTATAAAGAACTGAGATGTCTTTTGGTAACCATCCCTAATTCTGCACGAAACAAGCATGGTTTCTAATGTAAGACATATACCTGAAGACACATGTGACAAACCCATACATTGAGTCATTGAGATCATTCTTTTCTAATATAGGTCTATATACTATAAATTTCCCTCTAAGTACTGCTTTAGTTATTTATAAATTTTTCATTTAGTTCATAATATTAATTTCCCCTTTGATTTTTTAATTGACTAGCTTTCAGAGGAGTTTTAGAGTCATAGGAAAATCAGGTTGAAGGTAGAGATTTTTCCATTTATCCCTTGCCTCTCACACGGGAATATATATGTGTATTTATATATATATAAATGTATGTATGTATGTATTTGATAGTTCATCTCAATGCTAGTTGATTCTTTTTTTGTCCTATGGGTTACTGTTTATAATTCATAAGTACAACCATCTGGGTCTGCTGGTTTCTTCCATGCAGACTGTTTTACTATTATCTGAATTTCTTTAATAGATATAAAGCTATTCAGGTTACCTACTCCTCCTTGAGTGAGTTTTGGTTGTTTGTATTTCAAAGAATTGGTCTATTTTATCTGACTTATGAAATTTGGAGGCTTGGGGTTGTTTATCATATTCGTTTATTAGTCCTAAAATACACATGGCATCAGTAACATAACCCACCTTCAATTTCTAATAATTTGTGTATTCTTTTCATTGGTTGCCTGGTTAAAACTTGATCATTTTATTGATCTTTTCAAAGCCTTTCCTTTTACTGATTTTTCCCCACTCTTTTCCTGACTTCAACTCTGTTAACTTCTCTAATTTTTATTATTTATTTTCTTCTGCTTGTTTTAGGTTTTTCTTTTTTTAAAAAATTTCCCAAAGTCAAAACCGACATTATTGGTTTTAGAGCTTTCTTCTATTATATTCATTCAATACTATAAATTTTCCTGTAAGCACTGCTTTAGTTGCATCCTACATATTTTCAAAAACTGTTTTTATTTTCAGACAGTTTAAACTATCTCAATTTTGGGGGTCAAAGATAACGTTTCAATAAAATCAGATGAAATGGTCATTCAAACAGTATCCACTGAGCAACTTTTCCCCTGGCACTGTCAGATGGTGATTAGGAAAGTAAAGTAATGAAGGCACAGGAAAGCCTTGGAGGATACGTTGAGGAAAACGGTGTCGACTTGAAATAGGTTGGTCAGGGCAGCCTCAGTAAAAAGATGACAATTTAGGGATCATCTAAAAATTTAGGGAACATCTAAAGGAAGGAAGCCAATCACGTGGCTATTTTGGGGGAACAGTAAATGTAAAACCTGATGCAAGAACAAGAGAATTGGTATAGCTGAAGTAGTCAGGGAAGGAGATTCGTAAAAGATTAGGCCAGAAAGAAAATTAGGCCCAAGGTAACGGGGCCCCTTATCACGGTAAGAGCTGACTGGCCTCTGTAAGTGACATACAGAGGTACTAGAGACATTGGAGCAGAAAAGTCACCTCAGACTTACAGTTAAATAATTTATCTGGCTGCTGTTTAGAGAATGTGTCATAAAGGAGAAAGTGTAAAAGCATGGAGACCAGGTAGGATCAATGGCAATCAAACAGATGACGAAGGCTTGTACCAGTGAGGTAACCAAAGTGCGGGGGAAGAAGCGGTCACCTGGCTATAACTGGTGACTCAGAGGTTGCACAGTGACACATGTTTGAGGAATACCACAAATCAAAGCCCTTTTCAGGAAATCAGTTGCTAGAAATAACCTAGTCTAACTTTATCTCAGTTTTTCCCCAACTTATATGATCACAGTATCTTTTTCCATATACCAATTAATACCCCAGGAAATGACCATGTCGAGGCAGCTACTCTGAGGAAAACTGTATTAGAGGTATATGTCTTTCTGATGGCCTCAAAATAGGTGCAATAGAACATGCTAGAACAATGTACAAAATATTGATTTAGGAATTACCATAATGCAAGTCCTCATTATGTTACTTTATAATGATACTCACCTCTTGCTAAGATGAAAAACAAAGCCGTATGTCATTAAAATTGGTTTAGCATATTTCAATTCTTCATCAAAAAATCAAAGATGTCACAAAGATGATTTAGGATAGAAACTTTCGACATACATACAACCTTAGCTGCTCAGGCAGCCCTTTGTTCCCACCTACCATGACCCTGGAGGGACATCCCTCCAAGAAACAGATGCTCCTAGCCCACAATGGATAGGTCAAACTTCCCCAAAGCATCTGTTACCTACTAGCCATCTAAAGAAGGTAAAATAAATCTTAAAATAATAACATAAGAACCTAATTTAAAATTTTTCTCCCCATATTTTGTTCCAGGACCTCTAGAAATGTGTTCTTGTGTGATTAGAGAAGACAAAGTTTTGGGAAGAAGGATTAAAAAAAAATTGAAATGTCAACTTACAAAAGCCAATGGCACTGTGTATGAATCAGGCAGAAGCAATCTGAAAATAAACAAAAAGCATTCGTTAACTTTATATAAGAGCTGCACATGCGCTTGTTAATTGTAATTTCGAGATTGTTGTAGATTCATATGCAGTTTTAAGACAGCCTTTACCATTTTTCCCAGCAGCAACATTTCACAAAACTAGTACAATACCATAACCAGCACAGTTATGTTAACACAATTCACAAGTCTTTTGAGATTTCCCCAGTTTAATTGTATCTCTGTGCATATCTTGTTCTACACAGTGTCATTTCAAGCATAGGGGCAACTCTTCACCTCCACAGTCAAGATACCAAACAGTTCTATCAAAGGGTCCCTCATACTGCTCTCTTAGGGACACACCCACCTCCTCCACCATAACCCTTTTGCTCCAACCCTTATACATTTTTATTAAAATAACATCCACTTATTAAAAGAATATTTTAGTCATTGTTTGTCAGATACAACTAACAAGTCAGGTGTCAAATCACAAATAAAGAATTCTATTCTGTGCTAAAGAATAAGCATGAGATGAAGGAACAAGGTTTACAGAAAAATTTCTTCTCAGCATTGCCACCACATAAGACCATTCATTTCAGAAGTCCAAAAGTGGAAGGTAAAAAAGAAGTGTGTCTGAATTCACATTCCATGCTTTTCAACATTTCTCTCACAAGACACCTTTGAGTGCTTCCTATGGGACAATGTAGGTATTTTATATATGTTATTTCATTTAATCCCTACAACCCTCTTATGTGCACACCATTATCACCCCTATTTGGCCCAGGAGGAAACCAAGACCCCAAGAGGTTCAAGTTACTAAAGGTCTCACAACTAGCAAGTAGCAGATATCAGTATCTGGAACCAGATTTTTAGCATCCAGTCTATTGTGTCCCCCAAAGAAACCAATGGTAAAGACATTAAGATATTTTATGTCACCTTCTGTTGTGACCACAAATCACCTGATTGTTGGCAGACTTTAAAATATAGGAACTGAATAAGGAAAATGCTCAAAACAACGATGAGCAAAATGGAAACAGTTCTTTATTCAAATACTAAATGATAGAAAATTGGCACAAACAAAGCCTGGGGCACGCAGGAAGAACCGTATCACAGCAACAAACAGCTCACCAGCCCCAAATTGCGAGTCTCTGACATATGTTGCTGACTGTCAGGCGGTGATTTACGCACAGCCATGATTACTCTTGAAAAAAATTATTCAATTGGGCAACAGTAATAATGGTATAACTGAAATTTTCAATCACAGATAAAAGCATCAAAATTAGACTCCTTAGCCAAAAAGAGACATCTAAACACTCAAAGGTAATGTCCACATAATAACAATTTAGTAGATGCCTATTGTTACAAACTTTTCTGTAGGCTTATTAGCTTAATGATATAGCATTATTACTGCAGATTAGCAGATATTTTCTCCTGCAAAACCACATAACACATTTATGAAGAGCTGCAGCCGTCTCTCCAATGATTCAACAATGCTTAAAAGGCGCCTATTCAATAAGACATTGATATGCTGCCCTAAATACTCCGGCTAGGCTTTCTTTACAGTCTAATTTCACAGACCTCTCCTGGATGATCCAAGGTTAGGAGGCAGCCAGGGAGAGAATGCATTGTCAACATAGCTTGGTGCGAATATAACCAAGTTATACATAGGAACCAGGGAACAGGGCTCTGAGGTTCCTCCTCTGCAGAAAGCCACACACTGTCATTCCTAACTAACTTGAACACATTACCTCATTAACATTTAAATGTATCAAAAACTTAAAAATGTTTATACTTTATGCAATTTAGAAAGCACTACTAGTTAACTTATTTCAAATAAACTTTATAATCTCTCCCAGTTTATTCTTTTAAAGGTACAAAGTAAAAGACAGAGGTGAAGAAGTTTCAGAGTCTCTGTCTTTTCAGGCAATACCCCATATAACACCTGTTCCTCCTTCCTCACCGAGAGGTCAGACATCCAGGCTGGGTCAGAATGATGGACCTAGGGGACACTGGAGACAGCTCCCCATTCAATGCTTCCTAGAGCCAAGATTTTTTTAAGCCCCATTATTTCAAGAATGCTATGGTCTTTTTTGGATAGATGTAAGGAGATGGAAAACTCAACTTTTTACAAAAGCTCCATCACTAAATCTTGGGACAAAATAGATTTTGAGGTTCTAAGAAAAATCAGAATAGTTCCAAGTCTTCCAAGGTGACATATTTACAGTATTCCCTTTCAACTCATCACATCTTGTTTCTCAACTCTTCCTAAAAGTACACTCTTTGTTTAGACTAAAACTTTCTATGTATATACAATATAAAAACTGAGAGCCCCCTTCTCTGTTCCCAGTGAAGCTCCCCAGTGCATCTTCGTAAGCAGCAGTCTTTATGCCTAAATTCTATGTCCCTCTTCTTCTATTGATAAACAGTCACCCAATGATATACAAACTGGGCACAATACTTAAGTGGCTCTTCAGTGTTCTTCATTTTAGAACATTCCACAAAATCAACTTTTTCATGTTTTTTATTTGTATGTCACCTTCACTATAACATTTTTATGTCACTGTGTTTCTTAAATTGTTATATTCTTAGAGGGTGAAGACTGCATCTGTACAACTCAGTCTACCAAGAATAGCCATGCACGAATACCAGACAAATATCTTTGGTAGCAATGAGCGCAAGACCATGGCAGGCTGGCTGTGCTTCACAGAGGCTCTGGTTTCCAGGAACATGGAACCTGACATAAGAAAGGAACTGGGAAGTCCACTGAAAAGTGGGACCCAGCAACAGGGGCTCCTGTGGGCACTTCCTTTGAATTTTGCCTACATGCCAGGAAGACAATACCCCTCAAGTGTTTCAAATCCGCGGATATAAGAAAGGGACTGACTATGCTGGACTTGTAGTCAATTCATGCTGCAATAAAAAGCACCACAGACTGAGTGACTAAAAAACCATCTCAGTTCTGAAGGCTGGAAGTCTGAGTGTAGTATCAACATGGTCAGAGTTTGGTTGCAGATGACTCTCATGTATCCTCATACCAGAAAAAGTACAAGCTAGTTCTTGGTCTGGTCTTATAAAGGCACTAATCTCATGTATGAGGGCTCCATCCTCATGACTTAATTCTTCCCAAAGGGCCCACTTCAAAACACCATCAAGATTAGAATTCTGACCTATTACTTGGGGGGACACCACATTGCAATGCCCTTACACTGACATGAAGACAGGGCAGACATTGTTGACATACCTCAGTCTGCAAAACCTCCTGAACCCCAGGCTAACAGCCAAGAGAAGACTCTAAAGTACTTAAGCCCCCCCAAATATTACAGTTATTAAATTAAATCATCTTGTTATTAAATTAAGGTTAGGGGTATGTTTATTAGCACATCTAATTGACTGGAAACAAATGGATAAGAAATCTTCTAAATTCTAAGGAATATTCTGGCATCAAAGACAAAAGTGGACTCAGTTGAAGTTTTAAAATGTTCCTTTGGTCCCCAACTTTCAATATACAGGAAAGAAGCAGAATAGCTCTGGTTTTCCTAACCCCTACATCAAATGTGGAAAAAAATTTTTTTTTTAAACTGAGGGCAAAAGGTACATAGACTCCAGGTTGGATAACCAAGAAATATTTTGCTTCCCAAGGAGGTCCCAATTTCAAAACCATATGGATCAGTGTCTCCCTGAAGTGTCTTTGTGAAATCTATATCTATAATATCACAAAGACTAGGTTTGAATCTGTATTATTTTAATAATTCCAGAGGCATGTCTAAAAAAAATATTTTTCCTATACATCATAGATTTTAACACCTCACAGCCATTGACATGACCATATGTTTTACACCATGTCCTCTGTGAACAAGAACATCTTTCCTCAGCTTTTGAAAAGCAGTTCTCTAGACTGCAGTTTTAAACATCTCTGACTGTGACAAGGCCTTATCTCTAAAGCATATGACAATGACATCACACTTCACAGAAGTGCAGGCAAATTTAACAAGAGAGCTCTACTTCATGCAGACTCTCACAATCATAAGCAGGAGCTAAACTAATGACATTATAAATCTGACTAATATTCTTAACAAAATGTGTGGTTATGAATGAGAGACAGTATAATGAACACTAAAGCAGCTTATAATTAATTTTGACATTTTATTGCTGCATTTCTAGAAAAACCACTATTACAAATTGTTCCCACTAATTCTTAGGTAGAAGCCCTAACCCCAATGTGACTGTCTTTGGAGGTAGGGCCCTTAAGATGTAAGTAGAATTAGATGAGGTCATAGGGTGGGGCCCTAATCCAAAAGATGAGTGCCTCATAGGAAAAGCCAAAGGATTGAGCTCTCTTCACACACACACAGAGGAAAGGCCATATGGACACAAGGAAGATGCTATCTGTAAAAGAGCACCTTCACCAAAAAATGAGTTTGCTGGCACCTTGATCTTGGATCTTGAACCTATGGAACTATGAGAAAATATCTGTTGTTTAAGCCACCCTGTCTGTGGTGCTCTGTTATGGCAGCCCTAGTTGACTAAGACATCCACCATATTGTCTAGAAATGCTGTAAGAATTGAGGGCTGAACTCCTAACAAAGGATTTAAGATTCAAATAATCACTGTTATGAAGTAACAGTGTCAAACAAAATTAAAAAAAAAATAATCCCAAGTTCCCATTTTAACTCTCAGGGTAAAATCATAAAGTCTTATCAAAGTGAGCACAGTTTGTATATTAACAGTGTGCAATTACAAGAAGGGCCCTCCATTTTTTTTCCAGATACAACTCTTTCAATAAAACTGATCTGAAATAAATATGTTAATGCTAAACAAAAATTTTAAATGCCTTTGAAAATTTTTTACAAATTTATTATAATGCAGAGTTTAATTGCACAGCTAAATGATCTAAAGAGATTATTTTTAAGGGCCAAATCTAACAGCCAATCCTCATGAACTCAGTCACTTGTTCCCACAAGTTATTCTAACTTCACATTTGACAATTATTTAATTTATTGTGTTATAATTAAGGACATT